ATGCCACACCTATAGTTATCAATGTGCCACCAACAGCATTAGGAATAAAATATTCCAACAATACCTCAAGGAAAAAGCCAGAAAAGCTGAGTCCTCATCCAGTGACTCAAGAGGAAACTCTTAGGTCAGCAGCAGTGCTGCTGTGAGCCGTGGGCTGTGAGACACACAGAACATGGATAACACCCACATCCTCCCAGGGAAGGAGCCAGAAAAGCCAGTAGGAGATGGATGAAAAGCTCCCTGCATGCCTCATGTGCAGCACAAGGAAAAATATCCTTAAACACATGAAAATGATTTTGCCTTTTGTCCTGGCCCCTTGTGCTGCTGTAGGCAGGCAAGTGCTTGGGAAGCATATCTGGGCTGGAAAAAGCCATCACAAAATATTGCACATTGGTTTGTTTAAGCCGGAATAAAGCTGGCCCAGAGCCCTCCCACCAGCCCCTGAGCTGGCAGGGACAGGGCTGGCTTGGTGCTGCTGCCAGCCACCCCTGCCCTGGGCTTCCTAAAACAAACCCAGTCCTGGACACACCTGGGCATGGATGGAGCAGCTGGAACCAGCAGGAGCCAGGAGGGAGGCTCAGGAGCTCAGGACTGCAGCAGGGAAGGAGCAAGGGACAAGGAGCCAGGCCTGGGGACATCATGGCACAGCCAAACCATCCTCAGCCACAGGCAAAGCAAACCCAACAGGGACAACCTGCCCAGCCAGGGAGCTGCTCCAGGGGGAGCAAACCCCAGCAAACACCTCCCTGAGCCCCAGAACAGGGAGTGGGATCTGCCTCCCAGCTGGATCTGGTAGAGCCAGTGCTGGCCCCTCACTGCTCCTGCCTGCGCTGAGGATCAGCTCTGGCGCTGGGGGTGAGTTGGCTTTTGGGAGGGTTTTTGTTCTTTTTTCTGCTATTGTGTTTTAGTGTCTGGTTAAAGCCTGTCTGGTTTAGATTTGCACCAACTGGGGCCCCAGTGCTGTGCTCAGAGCTGGGAGCCCAGGAGCAGGAGCTGCTCCATCAGCAGCTGCAGAGATGCCCTGTGCCCAGCTGAGCTGAGGGTGCTGCAGAGATGCCCTGTGCCCAGCTGAGCTGAGGGTGCTGCAGGGATCCCCTGTGCCCAGCTGAGCTGAGGGTGCTGCAGGGATGCCCTGTGCCCAGCTGAGCTGAGGGTGCTGCAGGGATCCCCTGTGCCCAGCTGAGCTGAGGGTGCTGCAGGGATCCCCTGTGCCCAGCTGAGCTGAGGGTGCTGCAGAGGCTCCCAGGGAGAGCTGGGCTCTGGCTATGGGTGTGATTTAAGACAAAGCTGGGAAGTCAGGAGACAATTGTACAAGTTACCAGCTGTAACTGGTGCCCTTACTGGCTGAAATCCCCACTGGGGATGGGGAAGACCAGCAAGGAGCCAAGAAGGGATCACATTATTGCTGGAGGAGAGTGATGAGTTTTCCAGCAGGTCATTTCCCCCCTGCTCCTCACTGTCTCATGGCTCAGCTGTCCTTGTGGGACAGGTCATTGCCACTGCAGCTGTGCCTCCCAGCAAAGCTGATGCTTGCCTGGAGAGCTGCAGCCTCTCCTGTGTGGGATAGGCTCCTTCCTCTTCCCCATTTTCGAGAGGAGCTTTAGGGTTGTTTGGACAGCCCCCAGGATCTGGCTGTGACACGCTGAAGGAACAGATTTCATTGCCCCACAGCCTTCCCATGAACCAGGACATGGGGCTCTGGGCAGACAGGCCACTCTGGGGGCCTTCAATCCCATTAAAATAACCTGTTTCAATGCTTCAGTCCCATTAAAATAACCTGTTCCAATGCTTCAGTCTCATTAAAATAACCTGTTCCAATGCCACGCTGCTTCCCACACACCACAGCATCAAACCCCCAGGCACCACATCCAACAAGAGCTCAGAAACCTGTCCAATACCTGTCCAGACCAGGTCTGCCACGCTCGGGGACACCCGAGTTCCCTGAGGGGACATGCCAGCTCCCACACACAGCACTGCAGGCCTGCAGGGATGATGATGATGGTGGGACCTTTCCTAGGTGTCCCTGGAACCCCATTTCTGGAGAAAAGCTCACACAGTCCCTACACATTCTTTGTCACTTTGTCCTTCAGGATGAAGTGCTCAGAGTACCTAGGGAGGCTGGGAAGTGCCAGCACAGTCCCAGGCACTCTGCAGAGCTCCAGGCTGGACAGAAATCAAGTGCAAAACCACAAACACAACATTTGCATGAGAGCTCACAGCCCTTCAAGCTTCAAAGGACAATTTTCACCATCACAGCACTCACAGGTAATGATGAGAAAAGCCTTCATCTGACATTTCTCCAGCTCCATTTGATATTTAATTGGGAGAGAAGATCAAAGACCAGGGGAAATAGGTGGTTTTGCATTATCATACACACAGCTGAGCACAGTGAGCAGGAGAGATTAAAGCACAGAAATAAACTGCAGAACAGCAGCCATTCTTACAGCCACAGAGATGCCATGGAGCCACAACTTCTGACACCCCCGTGGCCTGGAGCCCGTGCCCTGAGCAGGCTCCTCTGTCCCACCACGGCCATGGGGAGCTCTGGGCAGGGACAAGCTGCTGCTGGAGCTGAATCCCCAGTGCCCACAGCAGGTCCTGATCCTGGCCAGCACAAGGGGATGGGAATGAAGGGACAGACACCTCCCAGTCCTTCTCCCTGCCTGACCAAGGACAGGCCATGGTGGTCTCAGCAGTGCCAGTACAACGTGTGGGACCAGCATTGTCACTTGGCACTGCCAGTGACTCGCCACACTGCTGGCACAGAAAACAAGGGATGCAGCCAAACTTACAGCAAAAATAATTTCCATTTCTGACTGAAAGCATTATTTTCTATTATTGGCTTTCACACCCAAGAATGTTACAAATGAACAATATTATCCTCTGCTTTAGTAATTTAATTCCCCACTTGGCAATACTAAATTGTCGCCTTGTGGTGTCCTGTGTATTTGTGACTACTCAGCTGCTGGGGGGTGTCAGTACCACACTCAAAGGCAGCACTGGTGGGGCTGTGGCTGCAGGATGACCCTCCCCAGGACACGGTGGCCTGCAGGCCCCTGGAAGAACTTCACCTCTGGAATTTTATTTGTTCCACCTGGTGACACAGTTGGGTGGAGGGAATGGAACCAGTTTCCCCCAATCCATAAAAGGCCAAATGAATTTAAAGCCCCCTAAAGAGCCCCCCTCATTCAGGTAACCTGGTCTTGAACACTTACAGGGATGGGGTAGCCACAGCTTCTCTGGGCAACCTCTGCCAGGGCTCACAGGGAAGAATTTCTCCCCATTATCCCATTAACTCTGCTCTCTTTCAGTATGAAGCCATTCCCTGCTGTCCTGTCACTCCATCCCTTGTCGAAAGTCTCTCCCCACCTTTCTTGTAGGCCCCTTCAGGTACTTCACCCTCTGTCTACATTGGATCTCACTCTCCTGATGGTACCACCACCACTTTTGCTAAGGGCACCTCGTTCCCACCCTGTCAGGGGGCACAGAGGGACTGTCAGCCGTGGTTGTCCCAGTGGACATTGGGATCTGCCAGCTGGCCCTGGTGAGGCCATGCCCAGTGAGTACCCCACATACCCACCCACAGCTCCACATGGGTAGGATTCAGAGATATATCTATTTTTTTAAGTTATTTGTTAACTAAACAGGGAGCTGATGGAAGGACTGGCCCCAGCACTTCCCTGTCAGCTTGCTGGATCAGCTACAAAAACACCCCAGAGCATTTCAGGCAAGAAATCCTCATCCCTGGGGGTTCTCGGTGCTGTCTGGGTGTTCTCTGCTCTCTTCTGCTTCTGCCCTTCCTCCCTGGCCAGTCTCCCTGGGCTGGGTCTGCTGACCCAGCGAAATCCCTCACATCCCTGTGCACTACAAACACTGAAAAGGGAAATGGTTTTGAACAAAGTGATGAAGAAAAGCATTTCCATTAGCAAGCGGGTTTGTTTTAATCCCTCTGATTTCCATTTTGCTGGGGTTTTTTCTTTGCCCTGGACTGTGCAGAGTATTTGAGTTTTTGACCCACGTTAGGTCTCACAGCCCCGTGACGTCGGCAGTTTCAGTCACACCAGCTTTTGTCTCTGCTGCTTCCAGATGGGCAAACACGGGCTATTCCAGCCACAGCCTCGATAACAAGGAAGCTCTGAATTATTCTGAACAAAAGGGCAGCAGCTAAACCTAATAACACCAACTGAAACCAACCAGCTGGCAGGAAAACCGCGTGTGACCAGCGCGGATTGTCTGTGTCCCTGCACTGCCCCCATGGATGCTCTGCGGGCCTGGATAACAGCATGGACAGCAGAGAATCATGGAATCATCTGGATTGGAAAATTTAAGAACATGGAGGCCAGGGAGACGACACAGGGAAGGTGTGTATGAAGGTGGATTCACAGCTGTGGGGAAGGAAAACAAACCTAAGCAGTCAGAAGGACAGTGTCAAACACGTGGGACTCGGCGGTTTCAGGTGACACAACCTGGCCCAGGTGCTCTGCTGATCTGTCAGCACTTCTGAACAGGCGACTCCCGCAAAGTCAACACTGAGATCGGCATTCATTGGGAAAAATGCTCACCGCGGTTTGCAGGATGACAGAACGCCGACAACAATGGGAGGATTTCCAGCAGGGCCCCTCTCACTCACGGGGGTCCCGCAGGGTGTCGGGATGGCCGGGACGGATCCGCCCCGCTCCCCCCGCTCCGGGGATGCGGGATAACGGAGCAGCTTCCCCGAGCGGGGATCACCGGCCCCAAACCAGCCCATACACGGCAAGGCTCGGCCGGGGTCAGCCCAGCGGCACGGGGGATCCGGCCCGGCCCGGCCTGGGGACAGCGGCGGTGGCCCCGGGGGTGGCACTGCGGGGACAGGGACACGCCGGGGGTGGGAAGGGAAGGGCAGCCCTGCCCGGAGCGCTGCAGGGCACGGCCCCAAGCGGTTCCAGCCGGGGCTGCGGGCAATGCCCAGGGAACGGGACACCCCGAGCCCTGCCCCGACCCCCGCCCCTCCCGCTCACCGCGGATGGCGGCGATGAGCGCGTTGCCGTCCTTGATCACCTCCTTGATGAACTTGTTGGTGCGCTCCAGCTCCTGCTCGTAGCACTTGAGGCGCTCTCGGAAGTCGGGGCTGTCCAGGTAGCAGTCGCTGAACTCCAGCGGCGGGTGCCCCATGGCCGCGCCTCGGCCCGGCTCCGCCGCGCTGCGCCTACCGAGCGCCGCCGCTGCCGCCGCCCCGGGCGCCCCGCGCCGCCGGCATCCCGCGGGCCCGCCCCGCCCGCCGGCCCCGCCCGCTCCCGCTGCCGCGCCTCGCCCGAGCGACCCCCGCCCGCCCGCCGAGCTTCCGGCCGCGCCGCTGCCGCCGGGAGGTGTAGTCCGGGATGAGCGGCCGCCCACCCGCCTAGCCTAGCCTGGCCCGGCCCGGCACGGTTCGGTTCGGTTCGGGCGCTCCGGGCCGGGCGCTGCCGCCGCCCCCCGGCCGCTCCCAGCGCGCCCCCTGCCGGCGGGGCGGGGCCGGTGCCGCCCGCACGCGTTGCCATGGACGCCCCGGCGGCGGCGCGTGACGCGGCGGCGCGCGGTGATGACGTCAAAGTGGCCTCCACGTCGCCCGGGCGGCCAAGATGGCGGCGGCGGAGGGGAGCGGGGCCGGGGGGACCCTGGTGAGGGCGGCCGGGGGAGCCGCGGGGAGCCGCGGGAGGGGAACCGGGGAGGCCGGACTGCGGGCGGGTCGGGGGCGTTCGGGCCCCCCTCTGTCCCTGAGCAGGGCCGGGCAGCCGGTCAGGTGCCGGGCAAAGGCGCAGCGGGGTCTGGAGGCCCGGGCGGGCGGCGGCTCGTCCGGAGGGCGGGGATGGGGGCGAGGAAGGCGACAGGGGAAGAAGACAGGAAAGGGGACAGGGTCGGTGCAGGGCCGGGGGCTGCCGGTCTCCGCCGTGCCCTCCGTGCCCCGCCTGGCCAGCGCCTCCCGCAGAACCGGTCGGGCCGTGCCCTGTTTGCCTTCGCCTCCGGGCACCCCGGAGCTTTGCTCGCCCGCGGGCGGGGAGGGCTTCAGCCCGGTTAAACGGGTCCCTGAGCAGCCAAGGTGTGTGTCCGGGCCGGGGGTGTCCGTGTTAATGCTAAATGTTAATGTTAATTTTAAGTGTGGGTACTCGGGGGTGGTGCGGCTGTGCAGCCCTCAGTCATCACCTCCCTTCAAACACGGCTTTTTATTTATTTATTTCAGTTACTGCCGGAGCACAGCACAGAGGGTGGGCTCTGGAGGTGGCAGGGGACAGGCTCACACACACCTGCTCAGCTCTTCTGTCACTGCTCACATCGGGCAGGGATAGCCTGGCTCTGCTCCAGAACCTTTTCTTTGTTGTATCCCCGAATTCTGAGCAGCTCTGTCCATCCCCAGCCCATCTGAAGTGCACACGAGCATGTTTGTGTTTTTTCCTAAAGGTTGTGCCCATTCAGTTCCCAGGTCTGGCAGATGTGTCCATATCCCAGGACATTCCAGTGGAAGGGGAGATCACTGTCCCTGTGGGATCTCACTCTCCTGATGAGGATTACTCCACGCTGGATGAGCCAGTCAAGGACACAATTGTGAGTCTGAGCCCCTGGCTGGGGTAGAACTCAGGTTTTCTGGTGGTTTTGGCAGCTGTTGTGCAAAATCTGTGGTTTTGCACAGCTCTGTACTTCAGCAGGAATTGTTTTAGAACTCATCACATAAAACAAATTCCTGTGGATCAAAAAGTGTCTGAATTGTGGCCCAGAGTTTCTCTGTGATCCTGAAATCAGTGTGGACAGAGACCTCAGTGGGAGCTTGTGAGAAACTCTACTGACTGAAGGTGTTTTTCATTTACTCTCTTTTCCTAGAGGAGCAAGCAAGTTGTTGGTTATATTCTGGTGTTAATAAAAGATACAATATTGTGGTTGCTAAAGAAAAGGATGTGATGCTGTGGTTGCTAAGGAGTGCAGGAAAAGCAGTCATTGTTTGTTGCAGAGGTTGCTACAGAACTTGTTGGGTTGGATCCTCTCCTGATTTAAACATGAACATTCATGTCCCTTTACTTGTGTCTCTTTGCTTTAGCTGGGAGCTGTAATTTTTGTGAGGGGCTAAATGAAAGTGTTTTGTGTTTGTTTCAGATGAGGGACCTGAAGGCTGTTGGGAAGAAGTTTGTCCATGTCATGTATCCCAGGAAGAGCAGTGCCCTCCTCAGGGACTGTACGTGCTGGGGATGGGGGTTCAGGGGGGCTGAGTACCCTGAGCAGCAGCGCTGGCACCTGGGGTGTCCCCAGGGCTCTGGGGCAGGGTGGGTACAACTGGCAGCTGCAGCAGCTGCTGGGTCTTGAGTGGATTTTGTTATAGATCACGGGGTAAGATGCTGAATAAGAGAATTGTAAAGCAGTGAGATGTGGCAAATGGCACCTTGGGAGTTGGGCAAGGGGCTCTGTCACTCCCAGGAGAGTGTAACTGAGATGTTTCTGTGCCTTTTGTGATGTTTTCCCTCTCCCTGCAGGGGATCTGTGGGGGCCATTGGTGCTGTGTGTCTCCCTGGCTCTGTGAGTATTCCAGGGGAATTTGGGGTTTTGTAACCTGGTGCATGAGGGAAATGAGATGTTAAAAATTACTCATTAATATGGTAAGATCAATTTCATCTGGTCCCTCTCTGTCTTGTGCAAGCACTGCTTGGTTGGGTTCTCTGATAAAATGTGTTTGTGAGACTTCAAGCCCATTAGCACCTCCTGTCCCTAATTTAGGATTTAGGGATAAACTCTTCCTGGTCCCCTGGCCTAGGAATGGTTTTACTGAAGGTGTCTCAAGTTGTCCTGGTCAGCTGTAGTGCCTGCATCCTGTAGTTATTCCAGGGCTTCTCTGAGGCTGGTTTGTTCAATCACACACTGCTCTGCTGCCTTGAGAGGTACCAAAACTTTGGTACTTTAATTTCCATCTCAGCCGGGAACTTTGGTACTTTAATTTCCATCTCAGAAGGGAATCAAGCCTGTTGTCCATGGCTTGATTCCCTTCTGAATGCTTTCACAGCCCTCAAAACAGGGAAACAAATGGACTGAAATCAGTTCAGTTGAGCCACAACCATTTTCCTTTCCTGTGCAAAACTGAGGATATGATGAAAATATAAAATGGAGGAAAAACTGTGGGCCTGCTCCAGTCTGGGAAAACTCCATCTGTGTGTTCTCCAGTGCAGCTGTTTCTCCTTTTTCCTCACTCCAGGATGCTGCAGGGTGGCTCTGCAGACAGCAAGGATGATGGAGGGCCCCAGTTTGCCGAGGTCTTTGTCATCATCTGGTTCGGGGCCGTCGTCATCACGCTTAACTCGAAGCTCCTGGGAGGCACCATGTGAGTGTGGGTTTGTTCTGTAGAGCTTCACTGTGCACAGAGCTCTGCCCTGCCTGGCCTCACTGCTGTCTCCCTGATGCTGTCTCTCTGTGCAGCTCCTTCTTCCAGAGCCTGTGTGTGCTGGGGTACTGTGTGATGCCTCTGACCGTGGCCATGCTGGTGTGCAGGCTGGTGCTGCTGGCGGGCGCGGGCACCGTCAGCTTCATCATCCGCCTCATCGTGGTGGGGGCCATGTTCGCCTGGTCCACCCTGGGTGAGTCCTCCCTGCTCCTGGGCAGCTTGATCTGGGCATTTCCTGAGGCAGAACCAAGGGGTGCTCTAGTCTGAGGTGGCCCTGGGCTGCTGAAGGGCTGTAGAAATAGTTCTTTTAATCTGAAGCTGAAAGGCTGTGGAAACAGTTCTTCCAATCTGAAGCTGAAGGGCTTTAGAAATAGTTCTTCCAATCCTTGAGCTGGCAGAGGTTCAGCCTCTGCTTCTTCTCCTGGTGATATCCATGATCATATGCAAATCACCTTGGGCAGCAGGATGGTGATTTAGTATTAAACACTGTGAGACTGTTGGGTGGTTTATTCTATGATTATGTTAGAAATACTCTTAGAAAATGCTGATTTTATAAAGATGCATTTGCATGATTTCTCCTGCAAGTCTGGCTCTCATTGTACAGTGTTAATCAGCATTTATGGCCAGGCTGGTTGGGGCTTGGAGTAGCCTGGGCTAGTGGAAGGTGTCCCCTGGAAGGTGTGGCAGAGAGTGGAACTGGATATCCCTTCCAAGCCAAACCATGCTGTGATTCCATGATTCTATGACTTGTCATTCTGTACAATAGAGAAGTTGCACTTGGTGATTACAGCCCATTGCTTTGAGCAGTGGTTTGATTTTCAGCACAAGTGCAGTGCAGATCCTGGCTGTGAGGGGGCTGTGAGGGTTGTGCTGCTTGTGCTTCACAGGTTTTGTGTCTCTGCAGCATCCACGGCGTTCCTGGCAGACAGCCAGCCCCCCAACCGCAAGGCCCTGGTCGTGTACCCCATCTTCCTCTTCTACTTCGTCATCAGCTGGATGATCCTGACCTTCACCCCGCAGTGAGCACCATCCCAAGGGGCTGCTACACTGACTGGACTTTCTCATGGACGCTGCAGTGAATCCTTGGCTTTATCTCCTTCTAATTTATATATAGGGATACTGTAAAAAGGCAGGTTGTGGGATAAAGCCAGAGGGCTGCAAAAAGTGCTCATTTGTGTGTCACTCTCTGTGAAAGATGCTGAGGTCCAGCTGCTGAGGGGTTTATTTAGCCCTGTTCTGTACTGGTGTTAAATAAACAATGCCCACTGGGACAGGGATTGTTCCATCTGAGGAGAAAGTGGGAAATCCTGGATTTTCAAGCTGCTGGGAGATGAAGATTTTGCACGAGTTGGCAGGTTTCCTGCCCGTGCTTGGATTCTCACTGAAGATAAAAATGCCTTATCAAACCATAGAACTTCACTGCAATGATGTGTGGAGAGGAAAGAGATGTGTCTGACTCCTTTTCATTCCCTTCTACAGTGGTGGGATGTGCACCCAGGCATTGTGGGACTGGGGCTTTCCCAGGAAAGGAGAGTTCAGTCAAAACTCAGTTTTGCAGGGAATTGGAGCTGGTGGCAGGGAGTTGCTTTTGCCCATATCCAAATGTTGTGTGTGTCCATCCCTTCATGTGGCAGGAAAGAAGGTTCCAGCTTGGTGCCTTCACTGCCTCTGTGAGGGGACTGTGGGCTCACTGCAAGCTGCAGACCTGTGACCAGAGGGAACAAAGCTCAGAGTCCTGCAGAAATGCTGAGACTGTAACAAAGTCTGGGCTCTCACCCTGCATTTGGGAAGTGAAAATTCCTTGGGAAGTACCATGAATGTGTAT